GAAATAAAGACATATATAATCTATATAGAGACATACAGGCACATAAAATATATAAAATATATGTATTATACACACACACACACACACACACATGGGCTTCCCAGGTGGCTCAGTGGTAAGGAATCTGCCTGCCAATGCAGGAGATGCAAGTTTGATCCCTGAGTTGGGAAGACCCCTGGAGAAGGAAATGAAAACTCACCCCAGTATTCTTGCCTGGGAAACCCCTTGGACAGAGAGGAGCCTGGCAGGGCTACAGACCATGGGGTCGCAGAAGAGTCAGATATGACTTAGTGTCTAAACAGAAACAACACTACACACACACACACACACACACACACACACACTCTCCCAGTTCTGAATGAAGAAAAGTCAGAAAACCTCTGGAAAGCTTGTGGCTAGCACTGACAGGCCCCAAAGTTAGTGCCAAAGGTAAGCATCACACACAGTCAAAAACATCTCTGAACGTCTTCCAGGACTGAGGTCCAACCCACTCTGGTACCTCAAGGCTAGAGCAAATCTTTACTTCTGGATGAACACCAGACATGATTGGTCAGATGAGTGACAAATATGTTTATCTTTAAATACTACAAACACCATCCAAAGCACCAGATGCTCACATATGGAAGATACTTTTAAGAGCTGCGCTCAAGCAGAGAAGAGCTAATTTAACTCTCGCACCTCAAGCTGACTCAGGGCCAGAAGCACACTGAATGGGAAGAGAGGGGAAACTGAGGCACTCTCTAATCAGTCATCTAATCAATCTAATCAATAACTGTCTCTCCATCTGTCTGCTGGTCTCCTGCCTCCAGTCACCCTGCCCTCCTCACGCTGGGTCTCCAGCCCTCTCCCTGGGTTTACCTCTCTCTGGGCATCCCTCTCTCCTCTCCCATTTCCTATTCTTGCCAAGCACCATATCATGAAGTGGTGAAGTGGGCTTAGGAAGCAACTGCACTGTTACAAAAGAAGATGATCAGAGCCCTAAAGTGGATCCCAAGAAAGGGAAATGGAAAGGAAAGTATGCCTCTGCCGGCTGTAGCTTCGTCCTACAAGTTAAATGGGATTGGCGTCAGCTGTTGTATTTCCACTCCATTTTAGTTGTCATCCTCATAGTTATACAGACATGCTGAAGCAAACTGTTTTGATGATCCAAGTAACAGTTCACATGTGGGTAGTTTTGGTTCTTCTCAATTAAATTTCTTGTTTCTAAATCATTCAACAAAAGACTTCTTCAACACTGTGCACATAGAAAGGGCACAGACCATGTGAAACAACTGACCACGTGGGTCTAATTTTGGTGCCTGAACAAATCCCAGCCTAACCCTGTCTGGCAGGTCGTCAGCTGTGCAAAACCCTATTACACCAGAGGCACCCACTCTGGGTCTGCTCTAAACACTGTGGCGAAACTCGTGCCGTTCACAAGTCCATTGTGGTTCTGGTGCCAGCTGGACCCTTGTGCTTCTGTTTATGAGAATGTGGGGTTCTAAATTATTAAAGTTAATCAGTCCACAAATGACACTCAAACTTTCTACAGGTAGAACTAACAACACTGAAAAGTTCTGGCTCTGACTAGACAAGAGAGACGAATTCCTGCCATGCCCCCTCCTCGGTCAAATGGTCAACGCATGCACGCACTCACGCACGCACGCACGCACCTTGTATCCGTCTCCCCTTGCCAATCTCGGGACGTATGAGCTCTCATCAGGAACTTGCAAATACAGGGAGGGAACCAACAAAAGAAATGAAGAGAATGCATACAGTATGAACTAACTGCATTCTCAGGCTATGAAGCAAGGAATCAAAGAACACTGAACAAATATTTATGGAGTACCCACTGTGTAAAAACCTTCCTTTCACCAAGATAATGCCTGTGGCCCCAGAAATTGGCTCCACTAAGTTGTTACAAGTCTGCTCTCTATTTCTCCCCAGACATTCTCTCCCCACTTCATGAATTTCTCTTGGCCTGATGCAATCCTCCTTCTGGAATTATCTTACATAACTAGACTGCCCTGCCCATTCTGGTTTCACCTGCCGGCTGACCTTCTTCCAGGTTACCAGGAAGTGGCAATGGCCCATCCCGACCCTCTGGACCATTGACATATGTCCATCTCAGGTTAACAGGTCACGTGGCTACTCAGGACGCTTCCTTCCCCAGGCTTCAAGACAAGGACTCCCTCAGGTTTCTAAGAGAAAACCAACTGATGAGGGTATTAACACATATCCCAGAGACTATTTTTATTCTTTCACAGTACAAATTATTTTTCTCTAATATCACAATTATCAATGACTGAGGAGTTTAACCCAAATTTGCTTAACATTTTGAGCTAAGAACTTGAATGATCTTTGAAATGGAAATCACCACCACCAGTTTTGCCTCTATAGGAACCAAACCAATCACTCACAGTTTTGCCTCTATAGGAACCAAACATCCCTATATCTGATATCTGTTCTCCTCAAATTGTACATGAATACTCCCCAAAGACAGGCATGGGACAGGGTACCATCCAGAGGAAGATGGAGTGCCAGGAGGGAAATTAAAGCACCAGGCGAAATGGCACACCTTCCCAGAGACAGTTTTTTCTCTGGAAGAAAATATAATGTTTTATGTCCCAAGATATTATAAAGTAAAATGAACAAATACATGACTTCTCTTTTGAGACAAAAATTAAAAACTTCAAAGAAAGTTCCTGCTTGCTGGCAGTCTATTGGGCTATGCCCACAATTCGTAGTGTGCTAAGTCGCTTCAGTCACGTCTGACTCTTTGCAACCCTTTGGACTGTAGCCCGCCAGGCTCCTCTGTCCACGGGATTCTCCAGGCAGTTATACTTGAGGGGTTGCCATGCCCTCCTCCAGAGGATATTCCCGACCCAGGGATCCAACCCCCGTCTTGTGCAACTCCTACACTGCAGACGGATTCTTAACCACTGAGCCACCGGGGAAGCCCACAATACGTGGAGTTTCCTGCAAATAATTTTTCTGCTTTTACATGCCCTCTACGGAAATTTTTGAGAAACATTTTACTCACACTATGAACTTCCTGAGGGCATGAACCACAGTCTCCTGCTCTTTGTCTCCAAGGACCTAGGACAGTACCTAAGACAGTGGTTGGCACAAAGGAGGCACTCAATAATGTTTGCAGAATTAATTCGGCTAAAATAATGACAATGGTATTGTCAATAACAATAGATTTTTATCAAGTTTGGATGGGAGAAAGAGAAGGTGAATGGCTATGTGAGGAAGTGGAATAGAAGGAACCCAATTTAACCAAACAGCTAATGGCTGCCATAGAAACAATCAGATGAAGCGACTCAGTTTAGTTCTTCAACAAGTACAGGAAGGCAAATATTGTACTTGTTAATCTCACAGAAGGCGGGGGTGGGGCTTAGGACACAAGGCTATCAGGTGACACTGGTGCCATTAAATTTAATAGGTTCTAAAGAATTGGAAAGGCACTGTGATAAGAATAATGATATTAAGTCCTGGTTGTATGCTGACCTTAACAAGATAATTTTGATCATTTAGAGGCTGAGTCAAGTATCTGCTGCTGAGACTTGACAACTCTGAAAAGTAGTTTGGTGTGTGCGTGTGCATGTGTGTGTATAAAATATGGTGTGGATGTACCTTTTCTTACTCTTAATATTGTTACCTTTTTTAACCTAGCTGGACCCAAACCAAGTTACAGATGGAAGCTGATTCAAAGTATATATATATTTTTTATATTCAAAGTTTTTTTTTTAACTTCCCTGAATGGAGACACTGCATTTTCACTCATTTGTACATAATAGGAAAGATGGGTATCACACCCACTTTCTCTACACAATCCCTCTTATACTGCAGTGAGTCACTTTCCATGCCCAGTATAGCCTGAACTTTTCAAACTGGAGGGAGAAGGAGCTGGGCGGGGGAGGAAGTGAGAACTCTGAGCCCTGCAGGTGTAAACCGTGAAGGGGTGAGCCAGGTCACTGCTGCCTTCCAGGGCTATTTCCTTTTCTCAATCTTCTTCTCAGATATGTGAACTGCCAACCAAAATGATGCCTTTCAGATCTTCCCAACAATGACAGCCAGAGACCCATACAATTTCAGTGAAAATCCAGAAAGCAGAAAAACATTTTATAGTAGTAAGATGTTTGTAGCGCCTGAGGAAGATGTGAGAATGGCTCAAGACATACAATGACTCCAAGCAGAGACAGATGCAAATTAATCTCAATAAAACCTGAGTATCTTTCCCACCAAGTCCTGAATCTGCAGGCATCCCCCTTTTGCCTGAAAAGTAACTTGATCCTGTGCTGTTTCTGTCAGAGCCACAAGAGTAGCTTATTGTGTGATTGTATCATTTTATTCTGTGGTATAAAAAGTGAGAGTTTTTCAGTTCACAACATCCGGGATCAAATACTGCTCTTTCAGCAACTGGACAAGTCCCTTCACGTCTTTAGGTTGAAATTGCTCCATCAATCAAAGATAAGAAAGTCCACACCCAAAGTTATTCTGAATATTAAACGAATGAACTTGTAAAATGCTCAGCACGCAGCAGAGATGAATATTTGTGTGCAGCAAAATAAATGCACGCCAAGGTTTTGTTTTCTACGTAGTAGGAGAAAATACCAAAAACTATTATAGAGAATGCCAAATTGGCTAGCGGCCCGGGTCACCGCTCGGGGCTGCCCTTGCGGGTGCAGCCAGGATGCCAGGAGTAGGAGACGATATAATCAAGTCGCTGAGGTTTGGGGAGCACTCCTAAACCAGTGTCCCGGAAGAATCTCCGGACGCTGTGGGTTACACTCCGGCCTGTGTAACTAACAAAGTGCCCTTTGCAGCTGAGCGGATTCTCGTTCCTTAAAGGGTCTCATCTGGGAAAAGTTAAAATGAATCAATAAATGGAGACAAGGGAGAGCCTGAGGATCCACGGGGTCTGCACACTCCGAAGGTAAGGGGGAGAGATGGCAGGGTCCCAGGAAGGACAGGAAACACCACCACCACCTCCAGCCCTCCAAACCACACTCTACCTGGGGATGAACTTGACCTCGTCCCCGAGTCGCTCCTGGAAGTCCTGCCAAGCCTGGCCGGAGCTCGCCGGGTCCCAGGGAGCGGCCAGAGCCGCCGCCGCGACCTCGTTGCCCTCGTCCTGCTCGCCGGACCCGGGGTCGGACCCCACCCGGGCCGCGGCGGGCGCGGGCTCCCGCGGCCCCCAGCGCCGGGGCGGACCCCCGCGGCGGGCCCCGCGAAAGCCGCGCGCGAAGTCCTGGAAGGTGATGGCACCGTCGCGATCGGCGTCAAGCCGCTGGAACACGGCCTCGGCGTCGGCCGGCCGCACGCGCAACTCCGCGCACAACGCGCGGAACTCTTCACGCTCCAGGCGCCCGGAGCGGTTCGCGTCGCAGGCGGCGAAGACGGAGCGCAGCCGGGCCAGCTCCTCTAGGTCCCCATCCGCCTCCATCCCGCTCGCGAGGGCTCCGGGGCGCGTGGCCCACCTCAGCTGCGGCAACCGCTGGGAGGTCCGGGGCCACCTGCTGCCGCGGGGAGCTGAGGCGAGTTCGGCGAGTCGGGCAGGTTAGGCCACTGGCGCGGACGGCGGGGCGGGGCGAAGCGCCTGAGTGGGTCGGTACTGTGCGCTCCGACGCGGCTTCGCGCGCCGACCTGGGCCGGCTCTGCCAGTCCCAGAGCCGGTGCGAGCGCGCCTCTGGCCACCCTTGGCCCGCTCAGCAGCGCCTGCCGCGACTGAGAGCCCTGCGCGGCCGCACGCACTGGCCCGGAGGCGCCCGGCTCCGCCCCGCCAGGGAGGAGGAGCGCCCGGCTCCAGTTCCCACGCTTTCTTGTGCAGTGCCCTGGAGCCTGGGTTTGGGACTCCTGGAGTTGGGGGACCCGGTTGGAACTGGGGGGAGGCAGTAGCGTTGCCAGGCCCTTAGCGTAAACAGTGTTTGCTCGGGTAAATCGAGCGCTGGTATGAGGAGCTAACTACTGGATAGAAAGAGGAAAGGAAAGTTAGGGGTAGGATTGCAAATTAGTTAACGTTATGTGTATCTTATTATTTTCTGATTCTGGAAAATCGGTAAACATCTGCATATCCCAAACCAAAGTGTGAGATTTACCAGAAGACCCCGTTCTCTGATGTTACGGACTTTCTTTTTAAAAAACATTTTTTTTTTTTTTTTTGACTGCGCTGGGTCTTCGTTGCTGTGTGCTGGCTTTCTTAACAGGAGATGGGGGTTTCTCATTGCCCTGGCTGCTCTTCTTGCGGAGAACGGGCTCTAGGATGGGGGCTTAGTTGCCCTGTGCATATGGGATCTTCCTGGACCAGGCATGGAACCCGTGCCTCGGCAGGCGGCTTCTCAACCACGGGGCCACCAGGGAAGTCCCATGGCCTTTCTTTAATGCATGTCGGTCCAACTAGTTAATGCACATTGGGAATCACATAGATCTTCCAGATCCTCAAATCCTAGTAATTTTTCTCAGTCTTTGTCTCCTCAACCTGAGAGAAAATTAACCAAAATCTTTCTTTCAAGCAGCAATATTTAAACAAGGACTGAGGTATTAATAGCTTTTTTTCTTTAAACAACTCTTATGGAAATTAGGCAGTTGTATGTTATCCTTTGATCTTAAACATTTATTTCAACAGTGCTATTGTGTCTTTGATATTGGCTGCTTCCTAGGTATCAGATCTTTAAAATTCATCTATTTTTATCCTTTAAAAAAAACTTGTCTTATTTCTGAGACCCTCACTTTGTCATATGACTTATGTATATGTTTCCTTTAGTAATTCTCACAGCCTGTGAAAATGCATTTGGATAATTTTTACTTTATTCATATAAAGTCCCTCCACTCTTAAGACTTTCTTTTATTTACTTTCACTTCTTTTAGTTATGACTCTGTAGTTAATTTCTTTTCATTCTCAGTTCAGTTCAGTCACTCATTTGTGTCCAACTCTTTGCAACCCCACAGACTGCAGCATGCCAGGCTTCCCTATCCCTCACTAACTCCCGGAGTTTACTCAAACTCATGTCCATTGAGTCAGTGATGCCATAACCATCTCATCCTCTATCATTCCCTTCTCCTGCTTTCAAACTTTCCCAGCATCAGTGTCTTTTCCAATGAGTCAGTTTTTCACATCAGGTGGCCAAAATATTGGAGTTTCAGCTTCAGCATCAGTCCTTCCAATGAATATTCATCCTAAATTTCCTTTAGGATGGACTGGTTGGATCTCATTGCAGTCCAAGGGACTCTCAAGAGCCTTCTCCAACACCACAGTTCAAAAGCATCAATTCTTTGGTGCTCAGCTTTCTTTATAGTCCAACTCTCACATCCATACATGGATGTGAGAGCTACTGGAAAAACCATAGCTTTGACTAGACAGACCTTTGTTGACCAAGTAATGTCTCTGCTTTTTAATATGCTATCTAGGTTAGTCATAACTTTTCTTCCAAGGAGCAAGTGTCTTTTAATTTCATGGCTGCAGTCACCATCTGCAGTGATTTTGGAGCCCCCCCAGATAAAGTCAGCCACTGTTTCCACTGTTTCCCCATCTATTTGCCATGAAGTGATGGGACCGGATGCCATGATCTTAGTTTTCTGAATGCTGAGTTTTAAGCCAACATTTTCACTCTCCTCTTTCACTTTCATCAAGAGGCTCTTTAGTTCTTCTTCACTTTCTGCCATAAGGGTAGTGTCATCTGCATATCTGAGGTTATTGATATTTCTTCAGGCAATCTTGATTCCAGCTTGTGCTTCCTCCAGACCGGTGTTTCTCATGATGTACTCTGCATATAAGTTAAATAAGCAGGGTGACAATATACAGCCTTGGTGTACTCCTTTTCCTATTTGGAACCAGTGTTGTTCCATGTCCAGTTCTAACTGTTGCTTCTTGACCTGCATGCAGATTTCTCAGGAGGCAGGTCAGGTGGTCTGGTATTCCCATCCTTTGAAGAATTTTCCACAGTTTGTTGTGATTCCACATAGTCAAAGGCTTTGGCTTAGTCAGTAAAGCAGAAGTAGATGCTTTTCTGTATTCTCTTGCTTTTTCGATGATCCAGTAGATGTTGGCAATTTGATCTCTGGTTCCTCTGTCTTTTCATTTTCTTTTCTTTTCATTCTGGATTCTCTTTATTCTTATTACTTTGATTGTTTTCAATATAATAAAAATAGAGGATTTGACTGACACTTCCTCAAGCAGATGTTCTTAAACAGAAAGTTAAGTGCTAAACATCAGAGGAACTGTTTCTTCTTGAATAGTACAGTAGATAAAGTCAACTCACAACATCTGTCAAGCTGCAATTACCACTGATAATTGCTATCTTTAAATTTAACTGGTAAATTGCTTGTGCATGCATTGCTTCAGTCGTGTCTGACTCTGTGCGACCCTATAGACTGCAGCCTGCCAGGCTCCTCTGTCCATGGGATTCTCCAGGCAAGAATACTGGAGTGGGTGGCCATGCCCTCCTACAGGGGATCTTTCCGACCCAGGGATTGAAACTGCATCTCTTAAGTCTCCTGCATTGGCAGGCAGATTCTTAACCACTAGTGCCACCTGAGAGGCATTCCATTAGAAGCCCTGGCCTTAGCAATCTAATCACTAAGTGAATATAATTCTATACAAGTATATGGTATTACACTGAAAAGAGTTTTATTGTTAGTTCAATATAGATTGTTATTGATTTTGAGTTTATGTGTTTTCTTGCTTATTCTAAAGGTTGATATTTTTTTCCCTATTAAGAAATGGCTAGCTTGGTAATGACTTTAAAGCTTTATAAATATACCTAAGTTGATTTGCTTGAAATATTATCATTATTCTGTTAACAATGAATAAGTATCTGTATTTTTCAAAATAGATAAGTTAATGATATTTTTTACTGCTTAGGCAGAAGTCTTTTTTTAAAGACTGCTCATGCAACTTCCTTCCTTACCTCACTCTGATCTTGGCACTCAGTTCTGAATTCTTGTATTCTTTGTCCTGTTCTGTCCTTCCAGTTAACCCCTTCATTGAAAAGTCATCAAGAAACATGGATTATTACAAATGTCTGTGTACATCGTCTCATTTCCACTGACTCAAATCTATTCCAGACCTACTATAACAGTTATCCCTCACGACATAATAGCACAACAAACACCTAGTGATTTAAAATATCAACCATTTTATTTGTTCCTAATTTTATTGCCCTCAACTTGAGCAGGGCTCCAGTGCAGGTGGCTTTTCTGCTGGCCTGCCTAGAATCATGTAGGCCTGGTAGATTTACCGTGACTGCATGGTCTTTGAGTGCCTCATTCATATGTCTGAAGTTGGTGCTGGCTGTTAGCTGGACATACGTCTGTAGGAGGCTGGCTCCAGCTTGTCACATGGTGGCAGTGTCTTAAGAGGGTTAAATCCCAATGCACAACTGCTTTTCAAGCCTCAGCTTGTATCATGTTTGTTGATATTCCATTGATCAAAACTAGTCACATGGCCAAGCCCTAAGTCATTAGAGGAGGAAATTATACAAGGTCATGGGGACAGGGAGATGTACTTTATCGGGGGCCTTACTATAACAATATACCATGCCCAGCCTCTGATACATTCTCTCAGGCTCTTGTCCTGCTGGTCTCTCTCTTCATTCTACTGGGTTGACCAAAATATTTGTTCAGGTTTTTGTAAGATATTATGGAAAAACCCAAACGACCTTTTTGGCCAACCCAATACAAACACAGCTGGACAATCCTTCTAAAATGCCAGTTATTCTGTCGTTCTGGGGCTCAGTGGTTCTGAATTAGTGATAATTTTGTTATCCAGGAAACATTTGGCAATATTTGGAGATATTTTTGGTTGTCACAATTCAAAATGTGGGAGATCCTGCTAGTATCTAGTAGGTAGGGGCCAGGGATGCTGCTAAACATCGTAGGATGCACAGGCTCAGCTACCCATAACAAAAAAATAATCTGGTCGAAAATATCAGTAGTCCTGATGTTGAGAAAGCCTGCACCCTAGCTCATCAACCCTTAGAGGGGGTTCTCCCAATAAAAAGAGAATCCAAATCAATCTCTTCATCTGGGCATCCCAAATCCTCTACAATCTGGCCCCTTACATATCCAAACATCTTTCCCTTTAATCTCCATCAGGGTTCCTACTGTCCCCTAGATATGCCACACTTGATCATAAGATTAACTTAATAGCTTCTCATTGTCATGACAAAATGAAAATATCAAACACCTTTTAGTTTTTTTCTCTTCCGCCAAATCAAACCATATCTCAGCCTCAGGGGAAGGGTTGGATCCTGCTTTTCCTACCAGAGTTTCTATAGTTTCATTGTGACCTGTCACTTACAAGGACACTGCTGAGCATGTATTACGTCAGCTCAGGCCACAGAATGCTTTTCCCTTTTCTTTTTAGTCTTTTTCACAGTTTTATTTTTCATACTAAAACTGATTCATCTGGAATTTATTTTGTGTCAGGTGTGAATTGTAGGTTCAACTTTATTGTTTCCTGACTTTCTACCTAGTTTATTTCTACACTGTTTATTTAACAATCTCTTATTCATGGATTTAAATACCACCTTTAGCATATACTAAATTCCTATACATATTGGAGTTTATTTCTAGACTTTCTAGTCCATTTGTTGAGGAATCATTCACATCTTGAGCTTATAAAAAGATTCCTAAAGGAGCCCTATTGAGTTGCCTTTTGTATTTTTAAGTGTTTAAAGTACCTCACAAGGTACTTAGGAATGCTTTTGAATATTTCTAGCAATATACTCAGGGGAAGGCAAAGGTTATATAATCTGTCTCTATTTTTTTTTTTTTTTAAGAATTAGGGGAAAGAGAGGAGAAGAAAGAAATAGGAGGCATTTCTTTTCAGTTTTAGTGTCCAGAAACAGCTAGTGAGGAATTGGAGATAACAGAGCAGCCTTTGAGAGTCAGTGAATTGGTAGGTAAGGAGAGCTTGCTTGTAGCTATCAGCACGACTTTTTAGAAAGATCATCTTGCTTTGTGGCTGCTCAAGGATTTTAAAAATCAGAGATAATCTTGTTAGAGCATGTTTCTCAAAAGAGTGAAAGATACTATTGTGATCAAATACATTTCTAAAACACAAATACATTTGGAAAAGAATCCTACCATATCCCTTCTAAGATAAAGAATGCCATTTATACTTGTTTAATATTTCCCAAATGTATTGACTATGGAAGCTTTTAGGTTTGGGTTTTTTTTTTTTTTCAATTTCTGTTGGCTAGCCACAGAATTAGTGCTCTTGAGAACATACTTTGGGAAATCTCATGATAGACAATGGCAAGCATAATGAGTCATGAGAAATTATCCTTTGTCACTACATCCTAAATAGACCCATCTTCCTATAACAGGGAATGAGCACTACCCCTTAACCTCTTTTTCACCCAGTAAATGGGAGAGGCTTTTGTTGGAAGCCTGTTGTAATCGACCTGCAAGAACTCCTTGCGGGTGCAAGACCCTTCCTCAGAGCTTGACTTAACTCTGAAGCTACTCTTCCCCAGAAAGATCTGATAAGCCTATTAAGATGGAACTAGATATCCAAGTAATGGCATACCACTGAGGGGCCAATTAGTAGGTTTAGGAACTCTCCTAAACAAATATAGGCCTGCAATACCTTCTCAGTTTTCACATGAGTATCTACTCAAGGCTTCCTATTCCTAAGGAAGTCATAAGGGAATTTTGAAAAGTTTACCAAGACTCTGTCAGCAAGTTTACATCACAGTGATTTACTCAAATTTACTCAAAGTGTAAAGAGTAAGTGTGGACTCATATCCCACTGTGGTCTTAATTTGCATTTCCCTGAAGGCTACTGATGTACACTTTTCATATGCTTAGCCTATTCTTGTATCTTCTTGAAGGGAATGTCTGTTCAAATTATGTGCCCATTTTTTTATTGAGCTGCCACCCTAATAAGTTGTGAGCATTCCTCATGTGTTCTAGAAACAGGTCTTCTGTCATCTCCATACTTTGAAATTCTTCTCACATTCTATGCTTTGCCTTTTTCTTTTCTTAGTGGTGTCTTTTGAAGAGCCCATGGATTTAGTTTTGATGAAAATCCAACTTAATGTTTGATATTATGGTTTATATTTTTGTGACCCACCTAGAAAGTCTCTGACTACCCAGAGTTGCAAAGATATTCCTTCTGTTTTTTCTTTTCTCTAGAAATAAAGATTTGTCATTTGCTATGACACCACACTTAAGGCAGAAAGTGAAGAAGAACTAAAGAGGCTCTTGATCAAAGCGAAAAAGGAGAGTGAAAAAGTTGGCCTAAAACTCAGCATTCAGAAAACTAAGATCATGGCATCTGGTCCCATCACTTCATGGCAAATAGATGGGGAAACAGTGGAAACAGTGGCTGACTTTATTTTTTTGGGCTCCAAAATCACTGCAGATGGTGACTGCAGCCATGAAATTAAAAGACGCTTACTCCTTGGAAGGAAAGTTATGACCCACCTACACAGCATATTAAAAAGCAGAAACGTTACTTTGTCAACAAAGGTCCGTCTGGTCAAGGCTATGGTTTTTCCAGTGGTCATGTATGGATGTGAGAGTTGGACTATAAAGAAAGCTGAGTGCCGAAGAATTGATGTTTTTGAACTGTGGTGTTGGAGAAGACTCTTGAGAGTCCCTTGGACTGCAAGGAGATCCACACCCAGTCCATCCTAAAGGAGATCAGTCCTGGGTGTTCATTGGAAGGACTGATATTGAAGCTGAAACTCCAATATTTTGGCCACCTGATGTGAAGAGTGGACTCATTGGGAAAGACCCTGATGCTGGGAAAGATTGAAGGCAGGAGGAGTAGGGGACGACAGAGGGTGAGATGGTTGGATGGCATCACCGACTCAGTGGACATGAGTTTGAGTAAACTCCGGGAGTTGGTGATGGACAGGGAGGCCTGGCATGCTGTGGTTCATGGGGTCATAAAGAGTTGGACACGACTGAGCGACTGAATTGAACTGAACTGATTGTATCTATTATCCATTTTGAGTTAATTTTATGTGTTGGGTAACTTAAAAGTTGAAGTTAATTTGTTCTATAGCCACTTCTGTGTGTGTGTGCTTAGTCACTTGGTAGTGTCTGACTCTTTGCAGTGCTTTGGACTGTAGCCCACCAGTTTCTTCTGTGCATGGAATTATTCAGGCAAGAATACTGGAACGGGTATTTCCTAGTCCAGGGGATCTTCCCTACCCAGGGATCAAAACAGTGTCTCCTGTGTCTCCTGCATTGCAGGTGGATTCTTTACCTATTGAGTCATTGGGGAAGTCCCATAGCTACTTCTAGCACTACTTATAAAAAAAAATATCCTCTCCCATTGAATCCCCTTTGTCAGAAATCAAATGACCAGATATGTGTAAGTCTATTTCTGGACTCTCTATTCTGTCTTATTGATTTGTATGTCTGTCCTTTCACCAATACAATATAGTCTTGATTTCATTGGTAATAAGTCTCAAAATCAAGTAGTTTAAGTCTTCCAACTTTGTTGTTCTTTTTCAAAATTATTTTGGATAGTCCTGGTCCTGGGTATTTCCATATAAATTTTAAGATCAATTTCAGTTTATAAAAAAATATCCTGGCACTGTGATTGTGTTGAATTATATAAATAAATTTTGGTAGAATTGTTATTTTAATATTTAAAGTCTGCCTATCAGTGAACAGGTTATATCTCTTGTTTATTTGTTGCCAACATATACAATCAGTTTTGGTATTATGATTAACTTGTATCCTGAGACCTTGCTAAACTCACTTATTAGTTTTAGTGACCAATATAATTCTTGGGATTTTCTTTATATACCGTCACTGTCATCTGTGGGGGGATAAAGGATAGTTTAACCTTTTCATTTCAATAAAGCAAGAAAAAGAAATCTATTTATATATATTTTCTTGCTTTATTGCATTGGTTTGGACTTCTAAGATAACATAGAATTACAGTGATAAGAACAGATGTCTTGCTTTGTTCCTAATCACAGAGGGAAGTCATTTACTTTCATCATTACCTCTGATGTAAACTATAGGTTTTTGTAGAAGGCT